ATCCACTCCCGCACAACAATAAGGTCATTCACGAATTAAAGGACAAGGAAACAGAAATTATTTGAAAATGCGAATTCGCTACTTTCTCGCATCACCACCACTTCTCACAGCTGATTACGACTGAGACAAATGCTTTGGCTGCATCGGTTTGGCAAGTTCAACGGTAAAGGCTACACCTTGAGACGGCCTTAATGAGGACTGTGAATTTCGCACCGAGCATAAGAAACGTGTTCAGTGCTTTAAACACCTTCGATTCTGTCAGCAAAGAGCCGATGAGACTGTGGGACAGAAGTGGCTTGAAAGGCATAAATGAGGAGTCATTGAAGGATTCCGGCGCATACCAGTGTTTCGAATTGCAGCCAATAACTTCGCAGCCCAGTGGTAAGCTGGAGACCAATTCCATGCAAGTAAATGGCAGAAGAGTTAGTGGAAGTGAGATTGCCATGCATGAAGAGGACTGCAGAGCCAGAGTTTGGTCAGGTTAATTTGCGGCTCCATGATGTCGACTGTCTTAAAATGCTATAACATGAAGGGGGGAGAGATGGCAAGGGTAGCAGAAGATGCAGCTTTATGTCTGTTAGTTGAGTCGTCCTCATCCAGTACTCCATGATAGAAGTTGTGGTTTGAGTACTTCACCAGCAATCACCCTCTTTACTTGGGGTGGAGTCTTTCGCGTTGCACTACCCTTTGGTTCACCTCAAGATTGCATGAATCGAACACTCCAATCGTAGTGGACTGTACTTCCTGTACTTCTGTCACCGGCACGCCTTCTCCCACACGCTGGTGTCCGCCTACGAAGTTGGATTGGCCTCAGATCGAGGCATGTGCTGCTCATCGCCAGACTTCTCTAACAATGTCTTCGTGTAAACTGGAAGCGACCACCCTCCACACCTAGCATACACCATGACTACTGATTAATGAGCTCGAAGGATCGGAACGGCACTGCTGAACTTACCTGCTTTCATCCCAAAGACAGAAAGGTCCAAAGAATGCTGCTATTTATAGCTGCACTAATAACACAGTTGGAGAGAAGTGGGAGAAGCGTTTACATGCACTTTATTTTGGCCAAACTTCGAGTGGATAAACTCTCACCGGATTAGTAGCGTAAACTTTCTTCATTGTTTATTCCTATCCCCTCGTAATGAACCTGCACCGTGTCTATGGCAACTTTCCGTACTTCCTCATCCCCCACCTGGTAGTAAAATCACCTTGGGAATGCATTAGTCTTGGTTCGACAAACAAGTTGGCACACAACCTTGTCTGCGTGCCAACTTACTTCATTTACCCTGTATCAGGAATTCATTTAGGCAAATGACTAGAACCACCCTCTGTGCCCGACTCTACTCGCTTTGGTTGACTTCACGAGTGGACCTTTTACCGATCGACTGACGAGGCAGCTGGACAAATATGGCGATCTTACGGGAATAAATG